CATGAGCGAAACAAAGAAAGGTCTTGTGGTTGAATATAACCAGTTGACCCTTCAGGAAAAATCAATAGTTGACTATCTTGATTAGGAAATACTACTCTAAATTTTGTTAGATCAGCTTGAGTTTTCCAAGAATCAAGGAAGAGAAGAAATTTTTTACCAACCAATGGACGTCGAACTTCATTTAAAAAAGCATGATGTTTTTCAGCACCACTTTTTTCTGATTTTGAAGCTCTTACTACAACATTTGGTGGTAAGACTAAGTCTTTTTGCACTCTTTTACCAAATTCATTTTCTTTTTCTTGAAGGATGAGAAAGAATTTGTCTAATAATCGACTATCAGCTGATGTAGCAGGCTGTACTGTGTAAGAGTGCATCAAGTTGTGTTTCTTTTTAACAGCCACTTCTGCTGTTCGTTCGCCGGTAAAAGAAAGGGTCCTTGGTAAGACATATTCTTGTTGAAATGAGCAATGATCACTGTTTAAAATTTGATTAGAAGAATACGTTGATGTTACAGCTCTTTTACTTTCGATCCAATTTTGAGCATCTAAAACATACATGTAAATTACATTAAGGCATATGAGTTTAAAGCGAAAATAAAACTTCAATCACCATTTAAACTGCAGACGTTTCGATTCGGTTTAGTTCGAGTAATAATCTTATTATATCTTCTTGACGATATTTTGTTTTCCCTTTTAAAAGTATTGATAAACGATTTGCTTGCTTTGAATGTATCCCAATTTAATTCTCTTGCTTTTTGAATTGCATAAAGTTCAAGATCAGCATCATGAACAGCTTCTTTTTCAATTGTTCTTTTCACATAAAATTCGTTAAATATAAATTCTTTAATATCTTTTAATTTTCCTAATCCTGTACCATTGTTTTCGATATATTTTCTAAATCTTTTAATATAAGTCATCGATTTAATTTTTTTAAAATAGTGGGAAATAGTTGCCAATCTGGCATTCGGATGTTAGTCGATCCATTCGATAATATTTTCCATTTCTTCTAATGTAAAACAATTTTGTAAACCAGAATGATTATTCTCATTATAATCATCCATTTCATCGTCGCTCTCTTCTTCATCGATCATTTCAGCGTATTCATCTTCAAATTCGAGACTATCATAAGTATACAGCTCACTGAAGTAGCTATCTTTAAATGACTTGAGAACTTTGAATAATTGTTCTGCAGCAAAACTTTCATCGGTAGTTGTTGCAGAATTTCCAGATCCAAATTCAGTTTGAGTCAAATGGAGAAGGTGTTTAGCAATGTTCAATAAATTCATGTTTTAATTTGATGAAATAAATCTTTTTTATTCGGTAGAGACAGCAAAGAACGAAAGAGAATAATTCTTCGATAGTATATTTCTTTGTGATGTCTTAAAACCAATCGCAAAGGAATGGTCAATAGACCACTAAGTGATGCATCAATGCACTTTAATTTCAAATTATACGTACAAGTGATTTTTCCAACACATCATATGTCTTATTTTTCATTACGATA